ATTACTTTTCAGGATCTATCTGGCAAAGAAGCCAGACAAGACTTTTTAGTGAGAAAATTGGAACTCCTTCAGATGAAACCCAGAAAAGACAAAGGCAGTTCGTCTAAGCAGAAAGGTGTAATATTTGCTGTAGCCATCACCCTTTAAATTGTTACAGTAGAAAAATGATGTACTAATATATTTGCTACCTTGGTACAGTTTTTCAGTAAATTTTATACTCACTGCATTCAGTATTTGACTCGTAATTTGTGTCAAATGAGTTAGGGGAGAGGTTATAATGTTTTTGAACACTTACATGTTGTGTAGTCTAAACAATTTTTCTTTTTTTTTTTACATGATCAATCTGTTTTAAATTAATAGATGTGGGATTAGGCAGGTCGGGAAGATCCTTTATAAACAAGAAAGTGAAGCTTCTAAAACAGTATACAAAAGAAGGACAGACAAAAGCAGGACAGACACCTGGTACTTGTGCGACTTCAGAAAAGTTGGAATTCAGAGATGAGAATCCAGGAGCAGCTGGTGACATAACAGTTCCATTTGGTTCTGCCTTGCAGAGACTGAAGATGGACAATTTTATGCATGATTTGAAGCAGGTAGTATATCACCAAAAATAAATAAATAAAAGAAAAAAAAACAAGTAGATGTTAATTTAGGAAATGCCTTGTACTAAATAGTGGGTAATTTACTAGTAGGTGTGTTCACAGTCAGTAATGAATTATCTTCATTAGCATTGTTATATTATTCTTTAAGTTTTTAATGCCATTCTTCAAAAATATTGAACTAGTTTTCTATTGCTGCTCAAATAAATATTGTTTTATGATTGAAAAAATCTTTTTTAGGCTTCCTCAGCTGAAATTCATGATGTTAACACATGTCAGGCATGTCTGTGAGTATCTCTTTCCCCATACTTCCCTCCCTCCGTCTTTCTCTTTTTCAAGCTCACATTTGTGTTTTAAAATCTAATGTAATACAGCACAATGCAATACAATTGCAAGAACTATGTAATTGCAAAGTCCTAATTCAAACTAATTTATTTTTTATACATTAGGAAACATAATGAAGAAGCTTCGAGGATCGAATTTTTAAAACAAAAACTGTCCATTGTTCACAATAAAGCAGTACAAGAAAAACTAGAGGAGCATTTGTATTTGAGGGTAAGCAAGAATTGTAATGGGCATTGTAACTGACAAAGAATTAAATTGTTTTTCTCAGGTGTACTGATATGAGTGAGTTGCCTACTTGTGTCCACAGCATGTATATCAGCAGAAAATATTAAAATTATTAATTTAAAACATTACTAAGCTCAGAATGATGGATGTGATAATAAAACGACATCACTATTGTTTATTCAATAGAAAATACATCAACACCTAACAATCAAAAAACTTTTTTCCTATTTATTTGTTCTAGGATCCTCTGACCCTGATAGGCAATATTATGAAAGACCTTCCCACATTACAAGATAACCCAGAAGATATATGGGCCAGACTTAACGAGCCATTTGCAGAGCAGAAGGAAAACACCTGAAGACTTTATCCAGTCTAGTTACAGCTTCTTGGCATAATCATTACTGTCTTTATATGATACTGATGTGAGTAAATAAATAAGCCATTAGTTTAACACAGCATAATGCTGATTCTTCCTTAATGGCCATAACTATAAAGAAAAGAAAACATTTTTGTTGTTGCTTTTCAGTTTATGTAATTGTAAATAAACTGAAAAACAACAAAAATGAAGATATGCTGTTTTGGGGGATATTTAATTGTTTTCTATATATTGTGGAAAGGATATTTAACAAAGGTTAAATAGTGATCTGATAGGAAAAAGTAATTTTGATACTTTTTAGTACTCGAGAAGCACCATTCTTCTGGGTCACAGCATGTGAATTTTTCACTGCTTTACTGCAGTGTTCACTTCTTATTGGCCTTTAGTTAGGGACATTAACTTGCATGCCCTTTCTTTTTCAGATTATTTATGTTTTGGTTATCCACTGTGAAGGCAGAAGAAAAACGTTTTCAATCTTACTTTTTTGTAAGGTAAGATGTTGATTGTAAGAAAATTGAAAGAAACTGAGTCAAGTTGTGTGTAAAGTACCAGAGATTTTACAACTGTTGCATGGTACATGTTGTGGAGTGTTGTATCTGACCTTTTGAGAATAAATCCAGTATTTCTTCCGTACATAATGAGATAGGTAGGTAGATAGATGTGAAATGATTTAAATGTTTTATCTTTAAATTTTATTGTAGGTGCCAGTGCTTACAGGTTGTGATCCTCAAGTTACCTCTTCATCCAATGAACACGAAAATTACTCTCGGCTGTGGCATTTTCTGCTCTTCAACCTCTGATTGAAAATCCAAAATTGAGAGTAATTAAGTGCTGTTTACATTCAGTGGAGAGAACCATCAGTTGAGCATGGATACCAAGGGGAACTAGACAGCAAATATAATATAAAAAAAGGCACATTAATTTTGTCTCATTCTTTTATTTTTAATTCTTATCTATATTTCCACATCATTCCCTTCCCAGAAGAGTGTACACACATTAAAAGTTTTGAACAGTTCAAAAGTATCTGTTAGACAGATTAACCAATAATTTAAATTTTCCATCTTTCCAATTAGCATGAAGTTTATACATGGTAGAAGTGAATGTTTTTACATTGTTTGGCACATTTGGGATGGTTGGTCCCAGAAAAAATCCTACGTAAGTCTGATTTCAAGTGATAGTTATCACTTACTATGGATCAAGTTTATGAACAGCCATGTGTGGCCCCTGTCAAAAGAACATCATCAAGCCGTACAGGTTGTTGGGTGTTTGTAGACCTGTTATTTTTGTTCCAAAGTAACTATACTGTCACTAAACTTCACTTCAATTAGTATATAGAAATCCTTGGATCCATGAACATTTTTATACCATAGATAATACTAATAGACCTTTTTGTAATATCAGCAATATGCTGAAATGAGTAATAAATGTGTGTATTGAACAAAATGCTGTTTTCTTCTTGTTCTTTCAAATACAACAAATAAATCCAAAGCCCCTTTGTTTCCACAAGATATACAATTAAGATGCATCAACATGATGGTACTCTCATTACAGGCACAAAGAAAATATTCAAAACATCCAAACTAACACTTTACATGTTTAGATCCATATCAGCAACTGATAACCATAGCAAAACTGACATCAATAAGTCAAGTCTTGAAAATTGATCTTAATCCAATAACAAATCTATCTGGCAAAATAATTGTTTAATATAGTATGAAACTTGGAACGAAAATGCCCCCTATCCCTGAAAATAATTAATAAAATTTCATAAATATATTATGCCATGATGAAAGTCACCAAAATAAAAACTGGTCTTATCAAAACAAGAAGTCTGTTATTTGTCGAATCATTTTCTTGTGTTCTCCTTGTGGCCTTTAATATGATTCACTAATTCCATCAGCACTTAATATTAACAGTATGTAACAAAAACAATTTAGGAACCAACTGACCCAAAGCAGAAATAATAGCTAATAACTGAAAAGACTCACATGATTAGCTTCAATTATAATGGGGTTAACCTGGTTTTGATGTCCACTTAAATCCCAGCATTTTTAAACAATTTTCCAACCAACATCATTCCTGTTAGACCATCAGGGTAATGCCCCATTCCTAGTTCTGCTCCAAATGCTAAATAAAAACATCCACATCTTTGTAACATAAATGTAAAGATATAAAAAATATTTCATTTCCCTTGAAAGATGCTAAGTTCTGACAAGCATCAGTGTGTTATATAAACCCTCTCCAGATATGCCGCAAACACTGAATCAACACAATAATCCATGTCCCCTCTGGCTCCACAATAAATATTCATATCCTGAGAAAGTTCTTTATATCATTCCTGCTGAAAGTATAGGTATGATACAACCACTCCAATGATGGCCACTACCCCACTGATGGCCACTCCTGAAATGTGGAACATTCAAAGAATTACACAGCCTGTGAGGACACCTTCACAGACCATCAGTTCAACAATTATATGACATAAATCACTACTGTTTGCTCCTCATTCATGTATTACACACCAGGTCTTATGGCATTAATTGTGTTGAAACGATATTTCTCAAAATTAATGCCTGTGTCTTCTCCGGGTCATTCCAAGTTTTTAACAATTCAATAACAAGTTTTGCATTTTTTAAAAAATAAATGTTAATAACATTATCAAAGTAACACTGCTGTCTTTCTAAATTAGTGGCTACTATAAAACAAGGCCTTTGTTATATGCATTTTAGTGACGGGTAAAAACTGCAGAAGACTTTGCCAAAACTTGTGGAGCAGATTTTTCTATTTTGGCATCAGTCAGAATTTAAAGATTGCCTTGAATCTTCATTTAACTCCAATAAAATTTTCAGTTCCAAAGTGTTAAGAGTTAAATCATAGGTGTTTACTGTATCTTACAGCTATAGACTCAAATCACCTGGACATATTGAACTAGTTGTCACTACTCACCTATGACTGAATTCTGTGAACTAGCTTTATGTTCTGTAAATGAACCAGACACAGTCCTACGCCTCTTCTCTGGTTTTACCAGTTCATTCTCCTCTGAAATGTTCAAATAAATACAAAATAATAACTAACATTCTATATACACAATAAATATTGAGTAAATGTTTGGTTGAGGACTTTCTTTTGCTCCACCTCCCCCCCCCCTTTTTTTTGAGAGGATGGAAATTGATGATTTTCAGATTCTTAACAGATACCAACCATTTTGATAAAAAGGCCTGAAATCCAAACTGAAAATAATTCTGATTCTTGCTGATTCAGTATGCCAATATTCCCTTGCACCCCTGACCACAAGTCAATACAATACTTCCAACTAATTTTTCATAAAAATACCTGGAATTCTCTCAAAGTCCAACTCCACTTGCTCATCTGTCAGATGAAGTTCCATTAATTCAGAGTTCCTGTCAATCACATCCTGAAGTTTCTCATCTTGAAATATGTAGTCACACATTGTGAGTGGGGTGGAGCCAAGCTTTGTGAATATCCGCACTGGGGTCTCATATAGAATTTTAGGATCTGAAAGCAATAAATATAACTGGGGTTTCTATAAGAATTTGGGAATCAATTTCATTTAGATTAAAATAGAGTAGATAGGCAAAATTTCCAACATGAAAATCAATGATAATAACAATAACAATTACAACAGTAGTCTGTGTGGTTATTTTTTATTTTAAGAAATGAACAACATTATTCTTTTTACTGTTTCACAAATGAAAAATCTTTAAAACCAAGTCAATGTCAAAGTAGTTTCAGCAATCCACATACAAACTCTTGCTCACCCTGCTCCTCCTCACTCTGCAGTAGGTCTTCACAAAGTAAATCACACCTGGATATTAGACTCCGTATCAGGTCTGTCTTGATAGCCTGTGGAAAGACGGAGATGAAATACAAAATATTACTATTTCATAGACACAAAGATATTTTACATAACTTAACAGTCATCTATAACTGCTCCTTGTTTGTAAATATAATTAAAGACATTCTTAATACTGTTGTGAGTCCTATGCTAGTTGTTATACCAAAACTGAATGTGCTTTACAGTATATTACTGAAAAAATATTCAGTAAAGATTTACAGATTCTACGAAACATGCAAGTTGTGACAACACAATGGGATGCGTTAGTTGTGACACCACAATAAGAAGTGCTCCCTACCTTCAGAGCATCCTCTACTGTTGCCTTGTGAGGTAGGAATGCTCTTCCAACTATACGACCCCTAATTAACATGGTGGCTCCACAGGAAGTCACAGTAGGCTCTGTTGTGCTGCCTGAAGACTGTAAATAAATAAATAAATAAATAAATAAATAAATAAATAAATGCCATCACACAGCAACACTGAAGGTTAAATTTAAAAAAATGTTCATTGGAATATTTCAGCAACATTAAAAAAATAAAGTAGTTTCTCAAACTGACTCAAGGAATTAAAACAATGAAATGAGTTTTTAAAAACTGCCATATTCATCCGTCTCTCTAAATTCCTTCAGTGTTTTAACATTTAAATGCAAAAGATAGAAATATTTAATAATAAAATACAGACAAAATCTTTCATTTATCTATTAAATCAGTCCAATAAAATTAAGATGCATATTTCACATTAACATTCAAACTCACCATTTGCATGAGTAAATCTACATTAAATTTTTTCATTGAAATATTAGCTGATGTTTTGTCTCTCTTTCCTTTCTTCTGTGTTTCTGAAGAAGTATCAAGCAGACGTTTTACATCGCAGAACTGACCATCGATAGTACCTAAAGAATTCCATATCCTATCACAGAATGGAGCCAGACCCATCTGAAACAATGCAAATATTTCTTAGTGAACTTATGACAGACAGCTCATTTAGTAACTTAATTCAGTGTGGTTAACTTTCCTGTGATAACAACAAATTCCCTATATTCCTTAAAGCATACATTGGGAACTTCTGAAAATATTTCATTTTTCAACTATTCCAAAGAAATCGTCCAAAATTTCAAAACCTTACATGAATTTGTTTCTCTAGGTCTGAACTCATTTTCTCAATCGGCACAGGAATGCTTGTATTCACTGACAGACTGGTTTCCACTCTGGACCAGCCATCAAGGAATGATGAAAACTTCCACTCAGCTGGCTTGGTTGTACACTGAAAACAGTCAGGGTTTAACATGGGTCATTTTTAAAAGAAATAAATGATGTTTCATTTGCAATACCAATCCTGGTTTAAACATCCATGGCTTTTAAAAGAAGCAGTACATCTTTCATTTGCAATGCCAAAAGTTATTACACATGTCAATTTGGAAAAATATTAAGGTAAAATTTCACTCATGACAACCTTCTTAGCTGCATATTTCTACACCAGTTTACATTTTTTACTTTTCATAAAATGTACCTGTGCATTTGATTAGAAATAACTTTCAGGTGTTTCTACCACCAAAGAGAGAAATATATTGCTTTTGCCCATTTATCTTAGCTGTATGTTTTCCACTGAATTCTAATCAAAATGTTCTTATACAGTAGTCTTTTTACCTTATGATCTGCCACATCAAAAGTTCTACATGTCAGTCTGTGGGGCACTGATTAAGGAAATACAGCTGAACAAACTATACCAATGCATAAAGCCTTTTCCATATTGTGCAATACATGGTTTTGTTTCACACCATATTGAGAGACTGACAACTTGATGGCCTGGCTATTACATGGGAGATTCATCTAAACAGAGTTCTTGTGCTTGACGCAGGCACTTAACCAGATCAAGAAGTTGTAGAGACCTTCCTTACAACTTCTTGACCAGATCAATTCTCATTGGTCCAAACAACTTGAAGCAAACTTATGAAAAGAAGTAAACCCCCCTTAGCATTATTACATTTTAAGACCAGTCAAAATGGTGGTAAACAGAAAAGTGAACCATATATTATGTGATAAGGACATTAAACATTTTTTTACAACAGTGAAATTCATGAAGGTGGGAAGGTCAACCCCAATGATATTATAATCAGTTACATTTTACAACAGAGATACTTCAGCATTAAATACTTCCAAAAGAGCATATGGAAGTCCTTTCTTGAGTTGCATTTTATGTGTCCAATATTGAAAAAAAAATGAACAAATTTAATCACAGAATAATATATTCTGAGTTCTTATTTTTATCTGTTTCACACAGTTAAGCTCATTTTTTGTTGCTTTATTATTAAAATACTTCAGTCAAATAATTCTCTTGGCACAATCCTGGCAAACTGAAAAAAGGTTTGTGGAAAAGGATACTTTCTGGTTGTATTGCATATCTGCAGTAGCACCCTGTCAGTGGTAGGGGGGTCCCTGTTGTAAAGATTCTGAGCTTTGCTGAGAGCTTTGTGAATTGCAAAAATAAGCTGAAAATATATGTAATTTTTTATCATAATCAAATGAATAAAATAAATTTTTCTTCTATCTGATACATAAAATATTCAAAAGAGATAAAAGACAACTGTGTGCAATTTAAAGCTAATAGCAAGACAGTGCACATTCCAACACATGATGACATATTAAATTCATCAGATGCATACAATACTTGGCACTAACTAGGGAAACAATCCAAACAATTACTACAGTTATCATTAAGTCCCAAACCTGTCTAAGTTTTGCCTGTGCTTTCTGCATCATGTCTGGAGGGGCCATGGCGAAGATTCCAATGACATCCATACTCCCTGGTAACATACGAACGACCTGCAAATATTAGAAAAACTCTCTCATTACATGATCATACTAATTCATTTGCTCATACAACTTTCTAAAATACAACCAGTTAGCTGTATGAGGTTATAATATTTGGAGCTAAAGATCTTTAAAATGTTTCAAAGATAAATAAATGTAGAATTTATTCTTTTTTCATAAATTTATACAAACTACAACATAAAAATGCACAGGTGAATTCAAAATATACTTTTTTAATAGGTCTACCAAAAATTAACTGAGTAATTATCTTCATAACATTATCCAATTAAAAATTCTAAAATAAGCAAAGTTAATTTCAGGATTCTCATACTCTTTAATATATATATATATCAAATACAAAATACAAATTATCAAATACAAATTATCAGGCACCTGCTTTGCATGGGTCACAACCCAGTGTTCACTGGTCTTATCCAAAGGTGGCATAGAAGACTTTGTTTTTCCGGTCTCATCTTTGTCTTCTTCCTCCTCTGGAGGTGGCGTACGTGCCATATGTATTACATAGTCTCTCTGGCTGGTCAGCTGAATAAATAAAGGAATAAATTATAACAAAAAAAAAAAAAAAAAAAAAAAATTGACATCTTTTGCATTGTATACAATGACAATAACAGTATTTCATTATGACAGTGTTATAATAATTATCCCACAGTCCTGGTGGAATAGTGTATATCATAAATGTGATCCATGCCTTAATTGACCACATATATGCTTGTGTTTGCGTTTAGTATACTCAGTACTAGTATATTTTCACCTTTTAAATAAAAGTCACTTGAAAAAGGAAATCGTATTCAAGGCAATTTGAGAAAGTATACTTTGCTGATAGCATTATAGTCACTGACACTTTGCTGTAAGGTAATTAATACTAAACTAGTTAGAATAAACACTGCTGCAATGCTCAGCAGTGAATGTGCTGTACACAACAGTTAGCTACTTGTACTGTACAGTACATGTATGTTATGTACTACTAGTAATGTTACCTGACCAATAATCAATCCCACTAAACACTCCTGTTTTTCTCCATAAAGTTGCTGAATGTAATTTTCTAGCCTTTCCTCTGCAAGCACAGTTCTCCCCATTTTAAACTTGCAGTATTTCAACTTGATATTGTTCACACATAAGGTAACCCTCCGACACAGTCTCTTCAACGTGGAAAGAGAGTACGATCAAATCTCGTGGCGAGATCATGTGACCTAATTTGACAAACATTCATATCTCTTTGAAAAGAACAGTAATTAATACTCTCTTATGCTAAGATGCAAAGTTGCCATGTCAGAGAACATACCAGACCATTCAAACAAGTGTTTTAATGAAGACCCAGCTCTTTGAAAAAACTTAATAAAGCAAAATCTCGTAAAGTCTCGTATTTGTCAACATGGTGAACGGAAGTGAGAAATCTGTCAAATTTTTGTGCAAAAACGCGTGATTTTCATGATGTAGCTTGTGATTGTGCTTCTAAATTTGACAATTTGCAGATAACTTCAGGGATTAATCTTACATATTGTTTAGAAAGGTGCTTGTTCGGTTATTAACCAAAGTGTCTGTGACGTTGTCACTGATTTCGCACTGCTGGCGGTGCTGTCAGCGTTACTGCTGTTGTTCCTTACCTACTCCGCTGAAGAAGATAAAAATGGGGGTTTGCTCATGTTTGTCAGCATTATGTAGGAGGATTCGATGTGGAACACATGTTCTCGTGCGACTCGCTCACACAGGGCTTTCTGTTGGGGTACCAGCTACGCTGATTTTCAAGGATTCCAGTAAGTTTATTTGCCATAACATCAACAGTTTAACGTAATAACACAACTGAAAACTACAACTTCTTATTCCTTCACACACTGTCAGAGTTAAATACATGTTAAATTTTGTTTAGCAGTTTTAATTTTGATTAAAAAAAATCCATCATTGCATCTACATGTAGGCGTGAATTATAAGAAAAATAAAGTAATCGGTGAACCGACGTACATTTCAAAGGAAGATTCAAAAATAATTTTTAGAAAATGTTCTCTGAGATATTATCAAAAACTGTGTCAAATGTGTTCACTTAAACTGTAGTCTTTTTAATTTGTTATTTATTTGTTTTGTAGACTGAGCACAAATGACATACACCTTTTATGTCTTCTTGAAGCTTAAGTGAAAACAGCAAAATGAAATTGTGAATGGCACCAGCTGGTAAAATTTTTTTTGTTTTTTTTTATCCCAGTTTTACACAAATCTCTGATACTCCAAGAGGACCTAGCGTATGGGATAGGCTACCTACTGCTGCTTATGTTTTCACTTGCCATGTACTACACTGCTTGTTTTATGGACCCTGGATATGTGCCAGTGAACAGGAAGGTAGATAATAATAAATGAATACTTTATATGATATTATTATCATTTACAACTTTATTGTAAGCAAATGTACCACAGAAATGGTGATTATAATTGATAAACATGGATATTTAATAAATATATAAACAATATAAAGATATAATTTTGGATAACACGTCTAGAAAAAATCTAGAAAAAACAACATTTTTACACCACAATATCTTCTCTTTAAAGCAGTTACTATTTATTGTGTTTTTATATTACTTTATTCCACTTGAACCTCAGCTTTGCAGTGAACTAGATTTTGATTTGTAATATAATAGCTCTTTTAATTGAAAGAAATCACTTTGATTCACACAATTGCTCATATGAATGAATAAATAAATTGACTGAATTAATGATATGTATTAAACTGGGCTGTCATTTATTTTCCAGAAGTCTCTAACCAGTACATCAGACCTGAGTTCAGATGAAGAAGAGGAAGATGATGTTGACAGTGCAGAGAACAGCACCATGTTAAAGATCTCTAAAGACAGTGAGGCCCCAGTCAAGCTGAGGAAGTGTGGATTTTGTAATATTGAGGTAAAAGAAAAGAAAGAAATGAAGAATGGATGAAGTGTGGATTGAAGTAAAATGGGAAATGATAGTTTTGATAATATTGGCTGTTTATATCCCCTCCCTAAAAAGAAAAAAAGAAACAGGTATTACAAAGTACATGTATGTCAAAAAGTAGAATTTTATTTCTGCACAATCTGCAGATTAACTTTTTTCATGGAGCCATATGCTCTACTTCATTTTCTGTGCAAAAGCAACAGGTTGTGTCATAATTTCATAAATCATGCATAACTTAATTATCTATATATCTATACAAAACAAAATGCACGAAGTCCAGTTCTTTTCAGTATCTATACAGCAGCTTGTCAAATGAAGTCCTGCTCATGTTTGAATTTTCATTTATTACAAATTATTGTTCCTTGCCATTGTTTATCATATCTTTCAGTCCTTATGAAGTGGCAAAAATAGCAATAATGCAATAACTTTCAGGGGTTTGTTAATATCTTGGGTACAGCATAATTTATAGCATAATACATTTTCAGTAATTTTAATCTTCAAAGACACTTACCTGTATTATTTTATGCAAACAGATCTTGACAGTGTTACAGCTGAGGAATTCATCAGCTCTCACGACTGAAAATGTTTATATGGAGATCCTTTTTGCAAAAGGTTGTATGAAGACATTTTTTATTTAAAATAAGCTAATTGATCTCTCCAGCAACCCATGCGAGCTCGGCACTGCGAAGACTGCGACAGGTGTGTGTACAAATACGACCATCACTGCCCCTGGCTGGAAACTTGTGTGGGAGAAAAGAATCACAAATACTTCTGGCTCTTCCTCTTCTCCAAGGCTGTCATCATATGGTGGACATTGTATATTGCTTGGTAAGGGGACTGGTCAAATGGTCAGCTTAGGTTGCATTCAAATAGAACTTATTGTTCAGACTTCTTGATAGTGTGCACTAACTCCACAGGAACCCTCCTTAAATGCAATCAGACAAACAGACTGACACACCTACTCTTGTTTCCAACATGCTGGTACGCATATAACCGCCAGCATTTTTGTTTGCTACTCAATGCCAGGAGGAGGTGTGTTAATCTGTTTATCTGATTGCATTCAGCAAGAGTCCCCGGGAGATAGTGTGCACAAGCCAGTATGATAGATTAATTGTGAATGCAACTTTATTGTCCAGGTTTAATTCACTCTCATGTAAGTGATGTCTTACCAGTGTGATGTCAAAATGATATTTATAAATTAAATATTAATGAAAGTTATATTTAATGATAACTTCCGTTGATGTTGATAACAATAATGACGGATCTTTAAAAATTACCACGGCTCATGCATCTTGATACTAAAGTGCATCATCTGGTTGATGGTTAAAACCAACAGTATACACATCTTGAAATCCTTGTTAATCAAAATTTAAAATTATTATTTTATGTATTATTATTAAACTTTCTTTTATGTTACTACTGCTACTATGAAATTTTTAACTTCTTGTCGTAATTTTAGGAAAGCCATAGTGCACACGGAGGAATGGAATGAATGGTTCAACCTCAATGTGCTGTTTGTTCTGGACATCCTAATCCTGATAGTGGGGGGTCTCACAGTGACCGGCTTGCTGACCTTCCACTCTTACTTAATGCTGACTAACATGACGACTTGGGAACTGGTCAGTCGAGAAAGAATCACCTACCTGCGTAACTTGGATGAGGAGCTGAACCCATTTCATCAAGGATATTGCCGTAATGCCATCACTTTCTTGTGCAACTGTCGCCTGACACAGTGGGCCTCTCTCTATGCCAAGAAGCTACGAGAAGAGTTGCCCTCTGGTTTGGTGTGAAGGGTCAAGATTAGGGTCAAGAGTCAAAGGTGACATATATGTACTTTAAGGTCAAGATCATTTTACCTTTTATTGTAAGTGTATTTCTTATGAATGGTGCTAAATGAAGTAATTATATAAGACATCTTAATAACTTGTCTTTGTCCAGTGTTGTCAACAGTGTTGGAGTTGCTATAGTGGTAAAGACCGTTTCACCACAGAACAAAATCATAACCTATAAATCTAGTACCCCACACAAATTTCTAACTTTGTCAGGTGTGTACAGTATTCCTTTAAGTTTTGGGGGCATTTGCACAACCCGAAGTCTTACTCTGAAATATTTTAGCCCCCAAGAGTTCCTACTTTTTTTGAAACTGTAAAATATTGGGTTATTTATATGAGCGTAGTAACAAATCTAGTCTTTTTGTGTGCAGCATCATATTAAGAGGTCAGCAGTTGTGTAAAGTTTTAACTATAAGTTTCAAATGGACCAATTTGACATCAGCGTGATCAGTCTGTGTCAAATGTACATGATAATCATGTAGTACATGTACCAAAGCAGAGAGAAGTTAGAATGCATTAGTATGACATATTGTATTTCTGTAAAGATATTTGCATGGTAAACCCACTTGTAGATTGAAAAACCTTGTTGTTAATTTTTGAAGGGATGACTATTAAAAGTTGCATTTAAGTGATAACATATTTTTAGTTATGGATCTCAAATGTCATACTTTTTTTTTGTGCAATTTTGTTTTGATAGTAACAACGATAGAACTAGATACAGCTTTACTGATTGTTTTACGTACATGTACCTAGATGTTTATTTATCAAGAATTTAGTTTTTGTTACATTTTTATTGGGTAATTAATTTGTATTGGATATTCGAATTTACTGCTGTTCACTTACTAGAATGATACTTTTTTTTTGTACATAGAATAATTTCCTATTTCCCAGGTAAACTGTCTTTCAATTGTTATCAACAGTGTTCGAATAGAATAGATTAAAAGAGAGAGAAAGGAGGTCCACTATTGATAACAAAGACAGCATCAAAATAGAACAAATATCACATTATCAATCAACGAACATTTTCTGTTACAGAATATCATTTTGCAGACTGAACTGACATAGTGACATAATCACTTTATACAAGACATGTTTTACAACGTAACTTTCTATTAATTATATGGCTAGCCAGGTCAATGATGGGTAAGACATCAGTTTTATTTTTAAAAGAAATTTCAGTCAAAAGGGCTGACAGATTTTTATCTGAAAATATTTGGCCAATTAAATTTGTTTGACTTTAATACACCATATTTACAACTCTTGAAATACGTAAATGTTTATTAAACTTCATATTATTAGAACTGTCTCAAAATTGGGAGGAAAAGCAACAAATTTTACTTACAGTGTTCAGAATGAAATTTCAAAATTTTGATTTTAACTCCATTTGTGTTTTTGAATGAATTAAAGAGACAAAAGTGTCTTTGGGCATGAAGAAAGGTGCCTTGAACATAATCAAAAAGTTTAAATGAAGTGTCTTGCACCAATAAATTTCTTTCATTGTCATTAACTTGTCATTTAGTAGTTTAAAAGTTTTTGAAATTGAGTTTCAGATTATTCCTAGAGTAAGTGTAGTTATTTTATCATATTACAAATTCTCTACTGCTGCATGTTGGAAAAGATTGGTGTTTTATGCTGTGCATGAATGTGTCTCCATTATTAGAATAATTCCCAGTATTGTAATAAAAATACATTTGATTAAAAATACGTCTTTTGTCTTGTTTTCACTCAAAGGTATACTGCCAGCATTTCAAAATGCCCCAATGTCATTTTCTTTATAAAAAAAATTATGCAAAGCTACTTTTTTTTCCAATTCATGACCTTAAAAGTTTAAGCACCTGAATTCAACATTACCTTCTGAGAGTACATTCATAGTGACATGATTGTCTAAGTGAATGGCTCATCATTCTGAACCAAATTATCTTATTAAAAAAAGCATGAAACATGGAATTCAAGTAGACGGAGCAAAGATTCATAAGTTAATTTGGTGGAAAATTCTAGATTGGATACTTTGAAGCAAGAAGTTATCTTTCATACATCCTTGGACTTGGACCGTCTATTTTATTGTTTTTTAATAACCCTGTGTTAAAAATATAAAATTATAATAATATAGTTCATATAATAGTAATAATAACCTTTATTGAGCACTAAATGTGTACATGGTTTGACATTTGCTGGATCACTTTTCTAAGAAGACTGACATGCTGAAAACTATTCAGAATGGTCGGACATTTGGACCGGCAGTAATGAAAAATTTGCCGGACCGAATGGATTTTTGTCGGACCAAAAATAACCCTATTCGTTTGAGTTAGATATTACCAGTATTATTAGGGTAGCTTACTTTGTTTGTGAATGTGATAGGTTTGAAATGGAAGGGAAAACACGCTTTGGGTCCTATACAATTTTATTAGTGAAGTGTGTCGAATGATGACTATAAATTCAAAAACTCTTTTCGGTCCTTTGGACCCACCAAGTCCAATTTTTTACCAGTCCAGACAAATTTTGCCGGTGATGACCGATCGGACCGACAGTTTCAGCATGTCTGTGAAGAGTAGCATATATATATTATAAAGTTTATTTGGTATAAAACTGAGTCCCTGTGTTCTGAATGATGTCAAAAGTACAAGATGTAATGGCGTTCATTAGGTGTGTGTGAGGGTTGCCTTCTAAAGTTTCTCATCAGAAAATGAAAAAGGTACACATGAAAGATTGTTATTTTGACCGGCAATTTATTATAAATATCTGACTGAAACTGAATAAAGATACCTTTTGATTTGGAACTGAAGACGGCATAGCAGTTGAGTTATTTTTTTGAGCCTTGCATCACTCCCTGATAATTATTAATCTTTCAATAAATAAGTGAATTAATATATTAAAAATTTTAATAAAAATCATAATAATGAAAATAAAAACTTTAAAGAATTAAAAAAAAGTTTGTTTTTTTTTTGCTTTTCAGCTGTTCTAACAATATTTCACTTAGTGCTTTTGCACAGAGTAACAAAGAGTATGGCACTTTCTAACACCATTCACTCATTTATCTAGTAAACCTGATATGTATATGTATATATATAAAATAGAATGATTAAAAGATTTTATGAGCTTTGAAGGCTATACATTTTATCAAGAATGCAATACCAAGAACACTTCATGTCATTATGCACAGACAAAACATACCATAATGTTTTTTCATGTAATTTCTCTTAAAAACAATATATATATATATATATATATATATATATATATATATATATATATATATATATATATATATATTTTTTTTTCCATTTTACTTTAATGCTTATTAGTCTCTATTACTAACAGAGAGGAAATTATGTCAAATACTACACACACAGTTAGTATTCCAACTACTTCACACAGACCCTTATTTTAATACAAGTTGTACTGCTTGGCTAAAACTTCCACTGGTCAGCACCTCTACCACTCAAGCTGTTCACGTTACACAAAAACTACTGAATTCCCATCATCTCAAGAAAGAGCTGAAAGACATAAGCATCCCAAATGACTTCACTCTACCAACAAAGTTCTTATACTGTAATATATTTTAGAGACAAAACAATAACTTTCAGGGCCAAATATACGAAGAAAAAAATAAGATTTTTCAATGAACAGAGATTATTAGAGTTATCCTATTATAGTCTCAATGATTACTAAGCTAACTATTATGGTTAAACCTTCTAAAATAAGGGGCCATTCAGAATGAGTTAAGTGGACCTAGCTAGTGCAACCTAACTTCATAGGGACTCTTGCTGAATGCAACTAGATAAACAGGCCACCTAATTAGGTCAGCATAACTCATTCTGAATGGCCCCTAGCAATAATATTATGATTAAACATGCTTCTTATCTCCAACCTTCATATCTATGAACATATACAGTAACTTACCCCAAAATGACTTAAACACATTTACTTATAAACTATTCACACGAGAACACAAGCAAACGCATGAGCGTACCTGTGTGAGTTGGTATTGAGGTTCAGACAACTTCTCCACAACATCAAAGTGGTCCACGCCAGGGACATCTACAAACTGAGTGGCCATACCAGCCTCTTGTAATGCCTGCAATAGCATAACTGTTACAGCAAACAATGGACAAAAGTATCACATGAAAAAATTTTATATGCAAAAAATATAGCAAAATGTTCAATATTTAATGTTAAAGTTCAAATCTGAAAGCAAATTATTATGTACTAAACAAATTTTTCAAAATTTGTTTCACGAGAAAACGATTCAGCAATAGAGGTACATTTAATTATTTTTAAAATGCCTTAAATTGTAAGGCGCATTGAGATTTTTAATGGAATGTGCCACATAAGAATACATTATTATAGCTATTATTATTACAGGCACAGATTGTCACTCACTGTATGATACTCTTTGGCTTGCTTTCTGAACTCAGGGGAGTCGTGTTCTGCCACCAATACCACCACCTTACACTTCCTGCACGTGATGTCTGTCAGGTGATTCATTGGACTGTGAGTCCATGCTTCTTCACTAAATAAAACAAATTATAAAGTGATAAATATTTTATATTCATCAAGTCCAAAGCTGTTGTGTACAATACCTGCAAAGATTATAAATTAAAATCACATCATAAGTATAGGGATTGCACACCTGATAAGTTCTCATAATTATCAAATTTATCAATCATGCATTTTGTGCTGCATCAAGCACATCAATATTTTTCAAAAATCATCTATCACACCAATATTTTTCATTTCATCACTTTTGTCTTTATCTTGGCTTTAATCATGTGGTCAAAGATAATATCCAAGCATGATATGATACAGTAATGACTCGGGTTTTTTTAGGTGGTAAAAATCTACCCTCTACCAGGGCGAGTGATAGATTTTTTACAGATATTCACAGATATGTCTCTAGCTAGATAGATGGTCATTTAGGGCTCAACTCACCCTGTTGAGAAATCTCAAGGCTGATTACATGGCTGATAATTGTTTGCATAACTGCTCAGGCACTGCCACTTAGCAGGTCCAGTCTAAGTCTGCGTGACAGCAATCAAGACAGTTAATAAAGGGAACCGGAGAAGATCAGCATTGGTCAGAATTGTGCCGGAAGTGACGTGCAGTGGTGTTAGAAACGAAGCTGAGTGGTCATTTTAACATANACTTCAATCACTTGCTCTTCTGTGACAGATAAAAAATCCTTAGACTGGTTGCGTAACAAGCAGTTATCACATCGTTGTGAAACTCAGCTCATGCAGAGCAAGTACAAAGCCTTTGGCGCGCGCGCAGAGATAATTGTTTCCACATGGGATTCCTCAACAGGGTGAGTTGAGCCCTAAATGACCATCTATCTAGCTAGAGACATATCTGTGAATATCTGAAAAAAATCTATCACTCACCCTGGTAGATGGTAGTAAAAATCCATCAGATACATATTTTTTTAATCATAAAAATTATATTTCTATATAGCATCTGTGGTGCTTTTACTGCATAGAATTGAAGACAGGGTAACCTGTGTTTCAATTTTGTTGCTACCACTCAATAGGAATGTTCTAGTTTTAAGAAACTGTAAGAAATGTAGTTTATGTTAAATTCACAGTTTTCTCCCACTGAAAAGATGTCATTACTGTATATACTTAAATATTTGTGTTACTTACTCTGTCATTTTAAGAGGTTCGTTAACATATGTGGCAACAAGAGGGCGAAGATCAAAAATTCCAGACACAAGAAACACACCTACACAAATATAATGTGAAAGCATAAAACATACAAAATGTTCCAGTTAAATTTAAAACACCTTGATAGACACACACAGGACATTTAGTAGGTGTTCTAAAACAACACTCAAGCAAGCTTTATCAATCTTCTTTTGCTCCATACTCCTTAACATTTGACAAAAAAATTAAATCAAAGGATTTAAAGCAAACAACCATGCATGCTTATGGGTTAATGCCCAATATGATTTTCAATTTAAAATATTTCTCTTGAATTATTTCCCCTTTTAATTTATATTGTGTATCATCCATTAATTTTGATATTCAAAACTGTGTATTTTAGATGAAAACTTCTCTCCTACAACCCACTACTTCGTGTGCATGCGTGTGAATGCATGTTTTTAACACAACATTGAACATCTCTCACATATGAAATTATATAATGTTCTGTACAATGTATAATTACCTTTAAGGAATCCAGGGCTCTCCATAAACTCCCCCATCCAGTCGACACTGAGCATCATTGCAGCCAAGTGGGCACCTGCACTGTGACCACAAATATATACTCCACTGGTAGCAGAAAAAGAAAATGTTCAACATAAATAACCATTATTCTTTTTAAAAATTTTAACACAAATACATGATAATGTCTATGTTACAACTAGGTTCAAGTAAACAAGTTGCTGACATTCGGGATAAACTGTGATGTTGAATGTGTAGGCAGATATGGAAGGTTCATTAAAAAAATCTGAAAAGTTACTATAATTTGAATAACTTCTTATGAAACCCTTATACAACCTTAAAGGTCAGACAGAAAGTTAGTTCTTTTCCTTGATATTATATCGGAATTTTCTCCCACTTTTCTTTGCCTTTGTGCATTATTCAACACACAGGATAGTCTGATGAAAGACACCTCTGATAAATTACTGAGAATAGTTCACAGATCTACCAACACTCAACAACCTGTAGGCATTCTGCCTGATGATGCTATTATTGTGACAAGAGCAAAAGGTACATAGCAAAAGGTACAACGCTGTTTTTGTTCCAAAGTAAGTGATTATTATCACTAAAACATCAGTAAATACAATTCTTTAGAACTATAAACAACTAACCTTATTGATAAAACTAAAAAAAACTTTCTTACCTGGATTCTCTTTTCTTTGCCAAATACATGACTGATCCTAGAGCTTTCTTCACCTGGTTGATTATCTGACCCATATTCACTACAACCAATCAATAAAATCAGTCAGATGCAAATAAACAAAGAAATAAACAAAAACTTAACTTTTAAGATAATTTGACGATTAATCATGTAAAACAAATAGTGTCTTCTACACTGTACTATGTGAAAACATCTGTAATGTTTTTGTCACATAAAATAATCATTAGATAAAAGGAAGGTAATAATTCATCTTTTATAAAAAAAATTATTAGATATTTTTTAATGAAAATAAAATGAATTACATAAAAATATGCATTAACACACTGCATATTATAAGTCTAGNGAAATATTTGGCCAATTAAATTTGTTATTTACAACTCTTGAACTACGTAAATGTTTATTAAACTTCATATTATTAGAACTGTCTCTAAATTGGGAGGAAAAGCAACAAATTTTACTTACAGTGTTCAGAATGAAATTTCAAAATTTTGATTTTAACTCCATTTGTGTTTTTGAATGAATTAAAGAGACAAAAGTGTCTTTGGGCATGAAGAAAGGTGCCTTGAACATAATCAAAAAGTTTAAATGAAGTGTCTTGCACCAATAAATTTCTTTCATTGTCATTAACTTGTCATTTAGTAGTTTAAAAGTTTTTGAAATTGAGTTTCAGATTATTCCTAGAGTAAGTGTAGTTATTTTATCATATTACAAATTCTCTACTGCTGCATGTTGGAAAGGATTGGTGTTTTATGCTGTGCATGAATGTGTCTCCATTATTAGAATAATTCCCAGTATTGTAATAAAAAACATTTGATTAAAAATACATCTTTTGTCTTGTTTTCACTCAAAGGTATACTGTCTGCATTTCAAAATGCCCCAATGTCATTTTCTTTATAAAAAAAAATTATGCAAAGCTACTTTTTTTTCCAATTCATGACCTTAAAAGTTTAAGCACCTGAATTCAACAATACCTTCTGATAGTACATTCCTAGTGACATGATTGTCCAAGTGAATGGCTCATCATTCTGAACCAAATTATCTTATTAGAAAAAGCATGAAACATGGAATTCAAGTAGACGGAGCAAAGATTCATAAGTTAATTTGGTGGAAAATTCTAGATTGGATACTTTGAAGCAAGAAGTTATCTTTCATACATCCTTGGACTTGGACCGTCTATTTTATTGTTTTTTAATAACCCTGTGTTAAAAATATAAAATTATAATAATATAGTTCATATAATAGTAATAATAACCTTTATTGAGCACTAAATGTGTACATGGTTTGACATTTGCTGGATCACTTTTCTAAGAAGACTGACATGCTGAAAACTATTCAGAATGGTCGGACATTTGGACCGGCAGTAATGAAAAATTTGCCGGACCGAATGGATTTTTGTCAGACCAAAAATAACCCTATTCGTTTGAGTTAGATATTACCAGTATTATTAGGGTAGCTTACTTTGTTTGTGAATGTGATAGGTTTGAAATGGAAGGGAAAACACGCTTTGGGTCCTATACAATTTTATTAGTGAAGTGTGTCGAATGATGACTATAAATTCAAAATTGCAGCTCTTAAAACTCTTTTCGGTCCTTTGGACCCACCAAGTCCAATTTTTTACCAGTCCAGACAAATTTTGCCGGTCATGACCGATCGGACCGACAGTTTCAGCATGTCTGTGAAGAGTAGCATATATATATTATAAAGTTTATTTGGTATAAAACTGAGTCCCTGTGTTCTGAATGATGTCAAAAGTACAAGATGTAATGGCATTCATTAGGTGTGTGTGAGGGTTGCCTTCTAAAGTTTCTCATCAGAAAATGAAAAAGGTACACATGAAAGATTGTTATTTTGACTGGCAATTTATTATAAATATCTGACTGAAACTGAATAAAGATACCTGTTGATTTGGAACTGAAGACGGCAGTTGAGATATTTTTTTGAGCCTTGCATCACTCCCTGGTGATTATTAATCTTTCAATAAATAAGTGAATTAATATATTAAAAATTTTAATAAAAATCATAATAATGAAAATAAAAACTTTAAAGAATTAAAAAAAAGTTTTTTTTTTGTTTTTCAGCTGTTCTAACAATATTTCACTTAGTGCTTTTGCACAGAGTAACAAAGAGTATGGCACTTTCTAACACCATTCACTCATTTATCTAGTAAACCTGATATGTATATGTATATATATATAAAATAGAATGATTAAAAGATTTTATGAGCTTTGAAGGCTATACATTTTATCAAGAATGCAATACCAAGAACACTTCATGTCATTATGCACAGACAAAACATACCATTATGTTTTTTCATGTAATTTCTCTTAAAAACAATATATATATATATATATATATATATATATATATATATATATATATATATATATATATATTTTCTATTTTACTTTAATGCTTATTAGTCTCTATTACTAACAGAGAGGAAATTATGTCAAATACTACACACACAGTTAGTATTCCAACTACTTCACGGACCCTTATTTTAATACAAGTTGTACTGCTTGGCTAAAACTTCTGCTGGTCAGCACCTCTACCACTCAAGCTGTTCATGTTATAGAAAAACTACTGAATTCCCATCATCTCAAGATAGAGCTGAAAGATATAAGCATCCCAAATGACTTCACTCTACTAACAAATTTCTTATAGTGTTATATATTTTAGAGAAAAAACAATAACTGTCAGGGCCAAGCATACAAAGCAAAAATTAAGATTTTTCAATGAACAGAGATTAATTAGAATTATCCTATTATAACAGGTCTCAATGATTGCTAAGCTAACTACTTTGGTTAAACTTTTTAAAATAAAAGGCCATTCAGAATGAGTTAAGTGGACCTAGCTGGTGCGACCTAACTTCATGGGGACACTTGGTGAATGCAATCAGATAAACGGGCCAACAAACTTCTTGTTTCCAACATACTTTACAATAACCAGCTGTGCTCTACTCAATGCCAGGAGGAGGCGTGTTAGTCTTTTAATTCTGATTGTATTCAGCAAGAGTCCCCGTGGAGTTGAGGCGCACTAGCTAGGTCAGCATAACTCATTCTGAATGGCTCTTAACAATAACATTATATGATTACACATGCTTCATATCTCCAACCTTCATGTCCACATATAGAGTAACTAACACCAAAACAGTAACCTAGGCCAAAATGACTTAAACACATTTACGTATAAACTATTCACACAAGAGCAGAAGCAAACATTTGTACATTGTACGAATATGCACACACAACCAAAAAAACGCATGAACATACCTGTGTGAGTTGGTATTGAGGTTCAGATAATTTCTCCACCACATCAAAGTGGTCCACGCCAGGGACATCTACAAACTGAGTGGCCATACCAGCCTCTTGTAATGCCTGCAATAGCATAACTGTTACAGCAAACAATGGATCACGTGAAAAAAATTTAATATGCAAAAAATTTAGCAAGATGTTCAAGATTTAATGTTAAAGTTCAAAAGATTTAATGTTAAAGTTCAAAAGAAAAATAAACACATTTATGGGGTATGTGTGTCTCAATTGCTTTTGAGCAAAATATTATGTACTAATGAGTTTTTCAAAATTTGTTTAACAAGATAACAATTTAGCAAAGAGGTACATTTTATTATTTTTTAAATGCCTTAAATTGTAAGGCGCACTGAGATTTTAAATGGAATGCACCACATAAAAATACATTATTATAGCTATTATTATTACAGGCACAGATTGTCACTCACTGTATGATACTCTTTGGCTTGCTTTCTGAACTCAGGGGAGTCGTGTTCTGCCACCAATACCACCACCTTGCACTTCCTGCACGTGATGTCTGTCAGGTGATTCATTGGACTGTGAGTCCATGCTTCTTCACTAAATAAAACAAATAATATAGACAGTGATAAATATTTTATATTTATCAAGTCCAAAGCTGTTGTGTACAATACCTGCAAAGATTATAAATTAAAATCACATCATAAGTATAGGGATTGCACACCTGATAAGTTCTCATAATTATCAAATTTATCAATAATGTATTTTGTGCTGCATCAAGCACATCAATATTTTTCAAAAATCATCTATCACACCAATATTTTTCATTTCATCACTTTTGTCTTTATCTTGGCTTTAATCATGTGGTCAAAGATAATATCCAAGCATGATATGATACAGTAATGACTCAGGTTTTTTTAGGTGGTAAAAATCTACCCTCTACCAGGGCGAGTGATAGATTTTTTACAGATATTCACAGATATGTCTCTAGCTAGATAGATGGTCATTTAGGGCTCAACTCACCCTCAGGCACTGCCACTTAGCAGGTCCAGTCTAAGTCTGCGTGACAGCAATCAAGACAGTTAATTACTCTGACTTCAATCACTTGCTCTTCTGTGACAGATAAAAAAGCCTTAGACTGGTTGCATAACAAGCAGTTATCACATCGTTGTGAAGCTCAGCTCATGCAGAGCAAGTACAAAGCCTTTGGCGCGCGCGCAGAGATAATTGTTTCCACATGGGATTCCTCAACAGGGTGAGTTGAGCCCTAAATGACCATCTATCTAGCTAGAGACATATCTGTGAATATCTGAAAAAAATCTATCACTCGCCCTGGTAGAGGGTAGTAAAAATCCATCAGATACATATTTTTTGAATCATAAAAATTATATTTCTATATAGCATCTGTGGTGCTTTTACTGCAGAGAATTGAAGATAGGGTAACCTGTGTTTCAATTTTGTTGCTACCACTCAATGTGAATGTTCTAGTTTTAAGAAATTGTAAGAAATGTAGTTTATGTTAAATTCACAGTTTTCTCCCACTGAAAAGATGTCATTACTGTATATACTTAATATTTGTGTTACTTACTCTGTCATTTTAAGAGGTTCATTAACGTATGTGGCAACAAGAGGGCGAAGATCAAAAATTCCAGACACAAGAAACACACCTACACAAATATAATGTGAAAGTATAAAAAATAAAAAAATTTCCAGTTAAATTAAAAACAACTTAATAGACACACACAGGACATTTAGTAAGTGTTCTAAAACAACACTCAAGCAAGCTTTATTAATCTTCTTTAGCTCCATACTCCTTAACATTTGACAAAAAAATTAAATCAAAGGATTTAAAGCAAACAACCACGCATGCTTATGGGTTAATGCCCAATGATTTTTAATTCAAAATATTTTTTAAAAAAATATTTCCCCTTTCACTATATATTGTATACCATCTATTAATTTTAATATTCAAAATTTTGGATGAAAACTACTCTCCTACTGTCCCCCTTCTCCATATGCATGTTCATGTGTGTGAATGCATGTTCTTCACACAACACTGAACTTCTCTCACATATGATATCACAGATGTATATAAAAATGTTCTGTACAATGTATAATTACCTTTAAGGAATCCAGGGCTCTCCATAAACTCCCCCATCCAGTCGACACTGAGCATCATTGCAGCCAAGTGGGCACCTGCACTGTGACCACAAATATATACTCCACTGGTAGCAGAAAAAGAAAATGTTAAACATAAATAACCATTATTCTTTTTAAAAAATTTAACACAAATACATGATAATGTCTATGTTACAACTAGGTTCAAGTAAACAAATTGCTGACATTCGGGATAAACTGTGATGTTGAATGTGTAGGCAGATATGGAAGGTTCATTAAAAAAATCAGAAAAGTTACTATAATTTGAATAACTTCTTATGAAACCCTTATACAACCTTAAAAGTCAGACAGAAACTTAGTTCTTTTCCTTGATATTATATCGGAATTTTCTCCCACTTTTCTTTGCCTTTGTGCATTATTCAACACAGAATAGTCTGATTAAAGACACCTCTGATAAATTACTGACAGGTCTACCAACACTCAACAACCTGTAGGCATTCTGCCTGATGATGCTATTATTGTGACAAGAGCAAAATGTACGACGCTGTTTTTGTTCCAAAGTAAGTGATTATTATCACTAAAACTTCAGTAAATACAATTCTTTAGAACTATAAACAACTGATCTTATTGATAAAACTTAAAAAACTTTCTTACCTGGATTCTCTTTTCTTTGCCAAATACATGACTGATCCTAGAGCTTTCTTCACCTGGTTGATTATCTGACCCATATTCACTACAACCAATCAATAAAATCAGTCAGATGTAAATAAACAAAGAAATAAACAAAAATTTGATTTTTAAGATAATTTGACAATTAATCGTGTAAAAAGAAATAGTGTCTTCTACACTGTACTATGTGAAAACATCTGTAATGTTTTTGTCACATAAAATAATCATTAGATAAAAGGAAGGTAATAATTCATCTTTTATAAAAAAAAATGATTAGATATTTTTTAATGAAAATAAAATGAATTACATAAAAATATGCATTAACACACTGCATATTATAAGTGTACAAGAGTGTATTTGTGTGTGAGCATGTATGCCTCCTACCCTTTGGAGCAAGATCATAACCAACCACGGCCACAATGGCACCAGAACCAACAAATGTTTCTGCCATAAAACTGGATACAGACAGGCTGTTGGAAGAAGAAACAAAATAATATTTCAAACTAAAACAAAATTTAAAAACATGATTAAATAGTAGATTAATGGATTCATAAAATACTTGAATGTTTTAAAAGGTTAAGTAACTTGTAATGATGGAGTCAGCTAATCATAAATTCCTGTACACTGCTCTCTTTGCCAATACTGTATCTGCCTCCCTGCTTTTGTCATGACAGAGGCAGCTGATGGAAAAGTTGATAACAGTGATAACAGCAACAGACAACACATATTCATAAATCAATTCATTAATTTACTATGACATGATATGTGGAGATGGCAAGCAACTAAAACTGATGACTGATTGCTGGGGCTTCATACTCATCACCTCTTTGTTTTATTAATGTACCTCATATCCTGCCAATAGCCACCATGTATATACACAAAGATGGGGAGACCTATAATAAATAAATAAATAAATAAATAAATAAATAAATAAATAAATAAATAAACAGCATAAGAAAGCAAAAAAAAAAAAAAAAAAAAAAATCGCTCAAATGTCTTTTTTAATATGAGACAATGCCGCTTGGTATTTCTTTAAGTTATGTTAATGGAAACTGTATGGTGGCATTTGGTCGGGTTTTGTGGCGAACCTGTGACTTCAAATGCATCTTTGGAGGTCCCTANCTTAAATATGACAAAAACAATATCACAAGCACCAAATTATGATAATGTTAGTAACTCTAATCATACGACCTACCAATGAATAGACGAGTAGAGTGGTACCTTATATTTTTCTATAATGGGAAATCACCATGGACTGTAATAATTACACCGGCTAGTGACTTTATAGACTGCTATTAAAAGCTATTAGTGTTTCTCTTCTGGCTGGGGTAATGATGTTCATTAACAATACATGTACATGAAATGTACTGGTGATTCCAGTGCATTATACACTGACACTGTATCTTCTGATGTACTGGCAGTCACAGAGTCGCCCTCTTTACAGCGACGTACATTTAAAAAAAAAGAAAGAAAAAAAAAAAAAAAAAATTGAAACATATAGAACACAAGCCGTATTTCAGTCCTATGAATCCTGTAAGTTTGAAAATAATTAAAACTAATAACAAGGTTTTCCCTTTGTTGTGTATATAATGAAAAAATTCCAGGAAAGTGCATGACAACAGCTACAGCAGATGAAGTGATGGCTATGTGTCTAAACACACTTTGTCTGTCCATAAAAATGTATTAGAAAAAAAACATCAAATTTCTTAAAAACTGACAGAACCAAGAGAATAAAGGCCTTCAAGATTCTACCCAACACCTAACATTTCTTGCTTTTCCAGAGATATCAGATTGTTCAAACTGTTATACCTTGTTTATTGCCACTTGGGTAGAAAACATCCACCTTCTGTTCCTCTGATTCTCCATATACAATGCTGCTATGCTCCAGATTCTGCCTTGCTCTCTCACTCCCTATCAATATTGAGGAAATAAATCCATGAACTGATATGTAAATATACAGACCCAATATGTAAGTGAAGAATATTTTATTTTAAGAGGTAAGTGTTGGAAATAAATACTTTCTTTTTAGAAAATGTGGATCACACATGAGAAATGTAAACAGGTATATGTGTAGCCAGGTGTGTTGGTTCAATTGGTCACCTTTTTCGAAGAATGTCTACATTATGTAATATGTGGTAATTTCTCTGAGCGTTTTTCTTTGGCTGGTTTGAGAAAGAGTAAAGAAGATCAGCATTTCAGAAGTATAAGTACATGTATCTATACTTTTGTATCTCTGCAACACCTAGTCAGAAGATTTTGAAGATTTTCCTTAGCTGGCCATAAGAACTTGGACAGCAATATGCCATAGTATTGTTGAGTTGTACCAGAATGGAGAGAAGCAAACTGCCATCGGCAGACATATAAGTGAATCCCATGGAACAAAGCCTGGTGCTTCAAAGGCATGCCCCGTCTGGTGGCACTACACTATGGCTACTAAGGCCGAGAAGACTGCTTGCTCCTACAGTTATGTCATAACAACCAGAAAGAAACCCTATCATGCTCTACAAAATGAGAGGCAAATTGCCATTCAAAAGTGTGCATCTAGAACACTAGTGAATGCCAGGCTAATTTCAGCCAGTTACCATGACAGGTGGCCCTGAAAGTGGCCTCAATGCCTGTGCCTGTAGTGGGACAGGAACCATTTGCATTCGCATGCACAACACTGAAACCATGTGCTTTTTACAGAAGAGATAAATAAATGTTCACTTCACTGGCGCGGTGGCCTATAAGAGTACTAAGGGTTCCAGAGGAACTTTATGAGGCTTGTGTCACCCCTACAGTGAATGGCAGCGGCAGCAATATCTGTGTATGCTGGATCCAAAACACCATTGGAGGGATTTGTCAGTTGCCTTCACCAACTAAAATACAGGAACATTTTAGAGTACAATAGCATACCATTTGCAAGAGGGCACTTTTGGGACACATATACCTTCCAAGATAACAAAGATTGAAGGGAAAAATTGAAGAAAATACGTTTCAAAAATTCCATGTAACTTGTAAATGTCAAGTCTGTGTTTACCTTAAGAGTACACAATTCAATTTACTCATACGCTTTGACTCCATTGTCTTAAAAATAATTGTATCTTTGTAACTCATAACACTGAAAAACATCACTAGCATAGAACAGATATATTCAAATCTGGTTTTCTTTTTATCAGTGGTAATGCTTACAAAAATAATCAGACAGTCTGGAAAAAAATAGGACAATATTGATATGATACATAAAAAACAACTAAGCATGTAAAGAAGGAAGGTGTTCTGATTGGCTTGAACTAAAACCTTATTATCAGTGTGTGACCGAGACCACACTCAGGTGTTAAGGTCACTGACAAGGTATCAGATTGTCGTGTGAAAAATGGACTGCAGTTCAAAGTCATCTATTTAACCTCTTTGTGGCACTTTTTAATATCATATTCGAAGTGTATTTATTTTATTTCTATATAAAAAGTCCTTAATGAACTGCCCACAGCAAGTTGAATAATTCATGAAAAAACACAATCCCTTCTATGAAATATGAACCACTCCCTTCCCTTCCCA